AATTGACTTTAGATCCCCAGAGAGCAAGGCCAGCCTGGTTAAACAACAATAGAGGTTAGGAGTACAATAAAAGAAAAGCAGAAGATCATCAAAAGCATGAATATCATAGATGATATTTATCCTTTTCATCCATAAATTAGGAATTATATGCAACAACCATCCACGTTGATTGAAATCAAAATGTGACACGGTAAAAATGAGAAGAACATACTAACCGTCATGACCACACAGTCCCGCATTAGCTAGTTCAAATGAAAGGAGATGCAAAATGGTACAAAACAACCAACAAGGAACAACAGAAAATACACTCTAAGCAGTTAGGAAAAAGGATTTAGATGCATTTCTCAATATAGCAGTTCTCAGTGGAACTAATAATGTGCCATTTCAACCGAAACATTGCTAGCATAATCTTTCAAATTCCCAATAGCCTTCAAGATAAATGCTGCAATAAATCTCTTAGCTTAATAATGATTTACTCTAGTTGTTCTAATAAGTAAAATATGAATGAATCATCTGTGTATATTCGCATATATGCATATTGGAACAAGAATTACTTCGATATATTATTGAACTGTTTCCTTAAGAATAAAAAACATCCCACTCCAATTTAAGCAGATCTAATTCACAAAGTTCCTTCATATTAAAGATTGACATAAAGCTTATGCCCCCGGAAGGTATCTTTAAGAAGCATTCAAGAAGACACTCCATCCCTGATTTCTATCTAAGAAGAAGAGTTTTCAAATGCAAAAGTTCCAAAATGCAAAAGCCGAAGTTGTCAAAAAATCAAGATCTTATCCAGTGTAGAATTAAAAGGGGAGGGAGGAGGGGGGAAACACGTGTTTATCAGAACAGTGGCACAGCTAAATCATACACAGAAAACAAAAATGCAGGGTAAATGAATATTACATAGTATAAAGTTAACAAAATAAAATACCTAAAACACAGGTTAATACAATACAAGAGTATCCAGCAAATGGTCAGTCATATGGTCCAGCCTCCTCAGCAAAATTTAGAGAACTTGCTGACCCAATAAAAAAAATACCACAGAAAGTGCACCAAATGGAACGGAAAGAATTGAGACGAGATAAAAAGAGTTCAAATGAAGCCAAAATAGACAGGAGATAGATTTCAATGAATCAAGCGACAGAGGAAGAGGATTTCAGGGCAAAATCTATGTTGTCTCTCAATTAGCTGGCCTCAATCCAACTCACAAAAATAAACGAATCACGTGTTAGGTTTTGGGGTCAAGTTCACAGGGGTTTGCGATCTTCCCTAATGATCCTAGACTAATTCTACAGGTTGCAATCCTGCATATGTTCAAACATGGAGAAACGTGAGAAATAGTAGAGCAGTGCAATCTTAGGTGCAAAATCAGGATATCAACAACCTTGCAAACGCCTAGAGGCATGTATACGACACTCACTAACTAAAAGGAGCTCAAACAAAAAAATAAACAGACACACGTACAAAACAAAAATTTAGAATAGGAAAAAATATCTAATTCAGAGAAACCAGCAAAGCAAGCACACTGCAGAAAAACATCAACACCAGCAGAGAAGCTTACTCTGACAGTAATATATGCTGCCGGAACAAGACCAACCAAAGTAGCCAAAAAGAATACATGAAACGGAACATCAACAATGGGAGAGGCCAAATTGATGAACAGATTTGGCAATGTCGGGGTTATCCTCAGAAAAAGCATGTAATTCAGCAGCTTATCCCTACGCTTTGCAATCTGATTCAACCATCCAGAAAACAAAATTCCACATTAACAATACCCACCAAATTCAAAATGTTTGCAAAAACATAAAAAATAAAGGATACAAAAACAAACCTCAGCTTGGAAGAACCTTAGCTTCTCAGGCCACAACCAAGTAACCAAAGGCCTGCCAATTAACTTAGACAAAAAGAAACAGGAAGATGCACCGGCAGTGGCATTGAAAACAACCAATAGTATTCCTCGTACAACTCCAAAAAGCGCCCCAGCTAAAAGGGACATGAAGATTGTCCCAGGAATCATGAAAGTCTGCATGAAGATGTAGGTGGAGCAATAGCCAAGAATAAACTGCGCCGGATTGTTGCTCGCATACATCGAAAGATCTTCCCTTTAACACAATAAATAGACAAATAAACAAATTAATACAATAATGATTAATACATAAAAAGAAGAAACAGCATAGTTGTTATGGTCACGGTACTTGAGGAGACGAAGATCGGAGAGAGTGCGGGGGATTTTGAGGCTTGTGTAAGCGGCGGGGGGCATGGTGAGGTAAATGCAGAAGAGGCCCGTGGAGAACACGAAAAAGACAGCAACGGCGGCGGCAAATTCCCACGTGTTGAGCGGGAACCTCTCCAATTTGGGCTTCTTGGCGGAGGGTGAATCGTCATCCTCGCCCTTCTCTTCATCCCTCGTCGCCGTCACATTCCTCGGCGCCGCCATACTACGATCCAATTAACCAAATCTCATGGGAATCGAGTTGACCGGAGTTCTGGGAATTGGGGATTTTGAAGGGTCGATGCAAGTTCTCTCTGTTTGGGGTGAAAGCCCTTAAGTTGGGGCCAGACGGTAGAGAGAGAGAGAGACAGAGAGAGAACGGGTTGCGGATCCTTTGCTGCAACTTTTCAAACTGCATGCAATAGGTGGAGAGAGAGAGAGAACGAGTTTTTTTTCAATTTTCACACAACTTTGAAGAAATAAGAATTAACAGGACTGGTGATTAATTTCCCCTTGTTGTTTTTTATTTCTTGCAATTTTTCCGGGATGGCTACTTTGTTCGCGGGCATTTTTCTTATATTTTTAATAATGTTTTGTTCTTTTTCTTTTTCAATCTCAACAATTTTTTTTAAAATGTTGATTTGTATTGTTGATATATGGTTGGCCTCGTGGAAACACAAAAGAGGAAAAATGTAATTCAACAATCAAAAGAATAAAGTAGAACCAAATTTTGAATTTTTCAGAAATCAACTATTTTTCTTCCCAATTTTTTAATTTTAAATTAAAAAAAGCAAAGGTGCTGATATAAAAAACAGAAAGACAAAGCTTGTGTTTTCTGTCGTCGTTTATTCGCTTTTTCCGGAAAATAACACTTTGAACAACCATTTTTGACAACATTAAACACAGCGCACGACGTGTCAAAATCTGAGTGTTCCATTGTTCCATTTAATTTTTCCAAACTGGTACCCCCCATCAGTATTTTGACACGTGTGCGCGTGTCTAAATATTGTCAAAAATATTGTTCAGTATCATTTCCTTTATTTTCAGTCAGACTATTTACCTAACATAGCATATATCTTATCATACTTTCAGTCCATTGATAAATATAAATGCTGTACTTAAAAAATATGGCATACATTTATTTGTTTTTATACATTTTTATTTATCTATTTAAAAATGGATATTGAAAAAAAATATAATTTATAAGGAGAACAAAAATGAAATTTAATTTATTTTATTTTACAATGATAAAAATTGAATTTAATGATTTCAAATATTAAACGTTTAAAAAAAAAAGTCAACAAAAATCAGAATTAAAGCATTTAAGAAGATGAAGATGTCATCGTTATATTTATTATTATTTTATTTTACACAAAATATATCCATATACTTCATTATACTAACAGAAGTGATTAAAAAGAGAGTAGATTTTAATCAAATCAATGGATTAAATCAATATACCTTAATTTTATAATTATGGTAATTGTTGTTGTTGTTAGGGTTTTATTTAATTATCGTAATAAATAATAATTGATATTACCTTAAATACTAATATACTATATGATCTTAAATCAATAACAATCATTCTATTGTTTATACAATCACGTGTTTCTTGTGACACATTGTACTGTTAATTATTATTTTTATCTAATTATTTTATTGAAATTTACAGTAGATTCAAATCAATAAATTTTACTTGATATAAATTAGGTTGAATAAATAAAACAAATTAAGTTGATAAATGGTGTGGGAGGTGTCTTATGTTAAATATAATAGATTCCAAAAACAGAAGTATCCAACAAAAATTTGAAGAACAACTTTAGTAGAAGATGCAACGAAGAGACCCACTTATTACAATCATCATTTCAATTCTTAAAAATATATAAAGAAAATATTTTATACAAAAGCTTTACAAAATTTCAAGTATCATTTTAATTTTAATAAATCTCGTGGTGCTAGATATTTTTAAGATTCTCTTATAAATTTTGATCAAAATATTAAAATTTTCAACATTTTTTGCAAATTAAAATGTTATTTTAATATGAGTATTATACAACTTTTTAAAACTAAAAAAATCTTATAAAAATAACTCGTAAATAAAAATTTGTAATATATATATAAATATTTCCTTTCTCTTAAATTTTAATATACCTATTTGTATATCCTTTAGTTGAAGTGTAGATCTAGTTTGGTGTGGTGAAGGTGATGTGTTTGATATATTGTTTAGTGGAACATGAAAAAGAAAATAATGCTTTGTGGAAAAGAATATTCGGATCGATCACAAAGACTGGATAAAACAAACCCATCAAAGATTTTATCTAAGTATACCCAACACTTTGATGTTTATGGTTTCTTATGTTTTCTCTAAGTATACCCCACCACTGTTTTATTTTTTACCAAAACAAAAACACATACTTCTTTCAATCATTTAATTATTTTTTAATATAAATTATTTAGTAAAAGTAATTAAGTGAATGATAACATAAACAATGTATATATAATTCAATCTATTTTTAATTTTTAAATTTGATGAAAAATTATAATTTGCTTTTGTATGTAAAATTTTGATATTCAAACTTTAAAAATAAATAAATAAATTTCTTTTAATCCAATTATGTAAAACTTTTTTTATGTACTGTCAAATTTTACAATTAACACATATTTGATACACCAAAAAAATTTAACGTAATTAAATTAGAAAAATTATATGAGGAAACAACTTAAAATAAAACTTAAAGAATTCAGGTGCAGTCATTTAATAACAAAGAAGATCCAAGAAGTGATTGTATCTATATATTCATATATCTTATTTTTGGTTTTCTGTTGTAGAATTGGATTAAGTCATTTAAGTAAGTTGATTCTCCAATCATGTTACACATGCATTATCATCAAACTTAAGTAATTTTTTGTGATACAAACCTGACGTATACGACTATCAAGAATTAAATATAATAAACAAACTTTAGGTAGCAGAGGATTGGAAATATCATCACCGACGCAATAAATAGAACTACTCTCTATTTCTAAAACAATATTAAATAGCTAATTAAGAAAGCTGAAAATAAGTGCCAAACAAATTCATGAAATTTTTGAAGTTCCAAAAAGAATATTGGAAAGTGATGTGTGAAAAGAAAAGAAAAACATATAAATAGGTTTGATAAAATATCTATATCTCGATAAAAATATCGCAAATATTCATAGATAAAATTTGATAAATAGTTAATATTTACAAATAATATATTTATGGTAGTGAATAGTAGGTATTTTAATATCTATTTTTATAAATACATACTATATAGATATTTATAATATATAGATATTTATGGATATTTATTATTCATAAAAAAATAAAATTTAATTTATATTTTATTAAGTTAAATTTAATTAAAATTAAATTTTAATTTATATCTTTTAAAATTTTATTTATTTATTTTAAATTTTATAAAATAAATATTACGAGTATCATATTTATAAATTTTAAAATACTTATAAATATTTTTTAAATAGATATTCAATCAATAACAAACAAATTATATATAATTTTTTTTATTGTAAATTAAATAATAAGCAAACAACCCTTTTCATCTTATATATTAATGGATATATTCATGTGACAGTAGATTAAAATAATCTATATCTTCATTTTCTCTGTTTCTTTAATTATTCTTTTTCACGTTATTTATATTAAATATTGAAACATGTCACATTAATGAATAATAAATTACTCACACTTGTTAACAACAAATATTAATGTTAGGTATTCATTTTTCTACTAGCAATAAATTTTATCCATAAATGTTAGTGTTTGTGTATTTTATTTTTAGTCCTTCGGTCCTCAGTCTCAACACTACAGAGAATTAAAGTTTATAGCTAGCTAGGTATCTCATTCCAACGAAACTCAAGCCTGCGTTTTACAAAAAGAAAAATATTTATATTCATATCATAGTTTCGTTATTTCTACATAAAAATATTACTATTTATTATATATAATTTGGATTAAATATGTTCTTCTCTAACTTATTATAAGAAAATTTGTTTTTTTCTGTATAAACTAAATTATAAAATGTTTAGTCCTATGAGGTTAAGTATATTTTTCAGTAAACGACAAATAAAGTGTCTTTTATATATTTGAAAAAATATTTAAAATGACTTTCGTAAAATATACGAATGAAATACTTTATAATTTAATTTAAGAATAAAACATAAGTTTTTATAATAAGTTTTTGATAAAAAATATATTTATCTCATAATTTTTTGTGTTATTTTTATATGAAATAGACTTAATTATGTACTAAGTTATTTATAAATTTAGATATACTATTTTATTTTTATAAAAGCACTTAATTTTTGTTTTTACAGTTTATTTTTTCTGTTAATTAAGCGAGGACACGATTATCTTATTCCATTATTTTATTTATTTTTCTCTACTTAATATGAAATTTTATAGTTAACATAAAATAACATTGTTATTAATTAAAAATAAAAAATGATTTTTATTATTTTAATGAAAAACATGTATAACAAGAAAATGTTGTCTTACCTATATGAATGGTAGTGACGAATAGTCTCTTCGTCAGATGATTAAAATATAAACAATCTCATTATCAGATATATTTTAATTACATTAAGTGCAATAATATAAACAAGTCTCTAACCAGTAGAAACTCATAAGATAGAATAAGGTCACATACTAGTTTTTTTTGTTGTTGTCTTATGTATAACATTAATCTGTCTTAAAAATTTCACAATCACAACTATAGTTGAAGTAATAATGCGTTCTAATCAAACGAGAAAAAGAGTAAAGAATGAAGATAGTGATAAACTGGAAACTCCCTCCTCTGATTAATTTGTATATATATTTATAGTCATATATTGATGAATTGCACACAATGCTCTCGAAAATCACTGACGAGGGCAATAGTTAAAGCAAAGAAAAAGCACACTATGCATGCAATTGAGAATGTACATTTATAGTGACATAACCAAGTAAGGACAATAAAAAGTTAAACTGGGGACCCAAAACGAAAAAAAGAAAAGGTTGTGATCTTCTGAACTCTAAACAAAGGAGAGATTCACTCTTCAAGCGAATCTCCTTTATCACGAAAAAATATATATAATATCATCATCACCTAAAAAGCTTTTAGGTTCAATCTCCAGCAACTTCTAAATTAGCTTATGGTAAGATAACGGACAACTACGATATAATGAATATTTATCCATCATCTTACTTAGACTTTTTATTCATTAATTCACTATGGATGATTATGGTGACACACACGTTAACTATGAATCTGGGAAGCATCCTAGGATATGACTAGCTTGATCATGGTTATTATGGGGCATCATCAAGGGCAAGTTTGGATGTGAAAAATAAGCTGTGTCACTCAATTGTGACCCGAACAAGTTGTCCAAACTCTTCCAATCGATACCTTGCGCACTGCTATTGCTCCTTTCCTCACTACAATATTCCTCATTTCTGAGGCCATTCTGGTGTTGTTGGTTACACTCCTTCATTGCAAAACTTGCAGTTGGACTATCTAGCTGAGGAAGCTCAATCAGCTGTTTGTCCATGACAGTTTGGTTTGGCAGAATAAAGTGCTGCTGATCTGAGTTGAAAGGAAGACTAAAGCTTGGAGCTTCTGCAGGGTGATGAGGCACATTTGTTTCATTCAAAATGTCAGCAATTGATAAGGGTCTTGCAAAGCTTTGATCTTTGTAAAAGTGTTGTTGATGGCTACTACTACTGCACCATGCTTCATAACCTTGCCTGTGACTTGGACTAGGCTTTCGAAATGCTCGGCACACGACCCATCCTTCTTCCTGCAATACCAAATTATAAATTCTCACGTTCAGCTTTTCTCATGATTCTCAGATACTTCATTTTTTCTTCTGTATTACTTACTATATATCATCATCATCATCAT